ACATTGCAGCTGGTGTCTGCGACAGTGGATCAAACACCAGTATATCTCTATTGTTGGTGGCTGCATTTGTCAATCGCGCAATGTATCGGGTGCCCTCGAAGTATGCGTATCGAACATATATTTTCTTCAAAAGTGTGACTTGCGATCCGTTTCTCGCGAACTCACCGCACTTTCTCTCGGCATACCAAACGGCCATTCGACGGCTGGTCTCTTGATCAAGAGCCCGAACTGCGATGTCGCTGCAGACTTCCGGAGGGAAGCGGGAGTGCGTCGCCCTTCTGATTATCGAGGCGAGCCAGGACCGTAACCAACGGGAACGCTGGCAGTTCGCTAATTGTGATGATTCGAAGTCGGGTGCAGTCACTTCGTAGGTCTGCGAAAAGGTCTCAATGGATATTGAACTGTAGCAGTCAAGGTGACAGCCAATCCCCTTCTCGTCGTGCTGGCATCTCCCGCGACACTGAACATACTCAATTTCTTGAGAGCTGTCGAGGAAGCCTACTACACTGTACGAGAACGGTTGAGATCGCTCAGCGCCGTCTCTCCACACTAGATCCATCAGAACTCTGATATAGAAGAGAAAAGAGCTACTTTACCGGCGACGATTGTCTCGTCTAGGACGATCTGGTATCGGCAAAGGCCACAAGACTGCGGAACGCAGACAGACTTCATTGGGATCTTGAGGCGTGTATACGCTGATGGCTTGAGATTTGATTTGATTTGATTGATTCCTACTCGGTTCTGGCCGCCTTAGTCAGCAGCTATGCCCGGATAGCGGGGTTTGGCCAACAGCCGACGCGCTCCGGACGTTAATCCGCAGCGCCCCACTTCGCCAGTGCAAAACACCGACCAGCCGTCTCCAAATCTCCCACTTTGCTCTCCAACCTCTATCTACATTCGGCTGGTCCCCTCATGTAGTTCGCGGTTCTCTACTAATGTACATGCATATCTAGGCTCTATTGAGGTCTTTCTCCTCGTACAACGGTTCAGCGTACTTGCAGTCTCCCCCCAATGTTCAGCTTAGTCTGGTTTGCGACTCGATCCCGTGTTGCCCAAGGATCTCGGTCTGTTCTATGAATCGGATTGCCTTGGCGGCTGCTTTGCGCTTGTTCAGTATGACCCGGAGATTGTGTCGTCCTGGGAGGGTTCCGAATTCCTGGCGCCGGAGTTGTCGAAACCTGCGGCATCGCAGCAGGATGTGCGATACCGTTTGCCGTCCTTCCCGGCATGGGCAGTTGGCGTTGGTGATGCCCGGTACTCTTCGGTTGAAGAGGAAGTCCTGGAGCCCAATCTTTTCCGTGCGCATCTGGACCAGGAGTGCGCTCTGGCGTTTACTGAGGCCTTCGTGGAGGCCGAGGACCTTCTTTGTCGGCTTTGGCGTGAGACGGAACGAT